ATAGAAGCATGTCTTCTCAAGTCTTTCTGCAGGTAATAAAACAAATTGTTAAAGCTCTCACCCGTTATTTGATGTATCTGTTTCTTTTGGGATTAATTATTCCATTTGTTGTTGTTGTTGTTGTTGTTGTTTTGGTCCCTTTTCTTTCATAGTGCTGGTTTTCCTATGAAACTGAACCTTGATTGCCCATCCAACTAGATTAATTATTCCAGGTATTCTCTGTCTTGAATACATAAATCTGCTCCTTCTGCTGAGTGTGTGGAATACAGAGCTGCCTTTCTGTCTTAGTCTCATCATTTTTCTGGGTCCCATTCCCTATGACTCCTTTCTTTTTAAAAAACACTATCAAGATTAAATCCAGACATCAGTAACCTTTTTTAAAAGGGGATTTGTTTTTTCCTCTCAAAAAAGCCTGGCAGTGGGCAATCCACAGTTGATATGACTGCTCCAGGAGATTGTCCTGCACCCTGGCCTTTTCTTTCTGCTTAGTCATTTAGAACACCTGTCCTCTGTCTTCAGAATTCCCTCATGGAAATAAATGTTTACAGTTGCTCCATAGGCACATGCTAGGCAGGAAAAGGGTGAAGGGGGCAGGGGACTGAAGGTGCAGCCAGTTGAGTCTGGTTCACATGGAAAGTTTTTATGGAAAGTCTTTTGCTGTGGCTTCTGATTATATTGCRTTGGCTTCCACTATCCTCAAGGGGCGTTGGGAAATTTAGTTTTTTAGCTAATAATGAAATACTTTATTTCCCCAAATTATATAGGAGTTCTGTTGTTAAGGAAGAATAGATTTTGAGTTTGCAGCCATTGCCTTCACACTGATTTCAGTGGTACTTGGAAGAAGGGAGGAGGCCACACAGGCTCGACCTCAAGACTTGAAATGGAAGTGCTAATCTTTGAAATGCAGAGTCTCCCTCTTCGTGCCTGGAGTGGATAATGTTGAATGTATTCTTCATAGGGGAAGAATTTTTATTATATGTTTAATGACCCATATTTAATTGTGTGCATTTTCTTATTCATTATGATGCTTTTTTCTTTGCATGTGTTGGGAAGGAGGAACCTTTGCAGGTTTTTCCAGATCTTGAATTGGACCATTGAGATTCACTCTATTTTTAGAGGCAGTGTATTAGTGTCCTACTGGTAATGTAGTATCATAAATGAAGTGAGTTAAGATAACACAAATTTATGATCTTGCGCTTCTTGAGCTCAAAAGTCCAAAGTGAGTTTTACTGGACTGACTAACATCCAGGTAGTCAACAGGACTGTGTTCCTTCTGGAGGCCATAGGGCACCATCTGTTCTAGCTTCTAGAGGTTGCCTGGGTTTGGGGTGGCTCATTTCAAAGCCAGTCCCCTGGCATCTTTCAGTCTTTTTCTGGCTCCGACCCTCCTGCCTCCCTTTTGTAAGGATTCTTGTGATTGCATCGACCCTGCCCTCATAATCTAGGATAATCTACCTGTTTTAAAATCATTAATTTAACCAAATCTGCAAAATCCCTGTTCACAGGTTTAGGATTTGGTCATCTTTGGGGGAAGGAAATTATTCTGCCTACCACAGGCAACTGTAACTCAACTTTGAACAGAATTTTCTTTATATCATTTCCTGAAACTGCTGCCTAGGAAGAAGTAGCTAAGAGCTATCATTCAGTTTTCATGAACAGAATATGAATTTAATTGTTAGGGATGTTGAAAAGATTATCCTCTATTACATTATAGAATTGTCAAGAACCTCTGTAAGCAATATGGTCTAATTCATGTGGCATTTCTAGGGACAGTGGTTATAAACAATTGTATTTGGTTTTGCTTTCTTAGGTGAAAAATATGTGGAAAGACTTTTTATCAGAAAATTACTTGAAACAAAATTTTGTTCCATTGATTTCTTTTACAAAATAAATAGATTTTTAAAACTTTTTTTTTTTTTGCTTTTTGTCTCGTTTACTGAACTTTTGCTTTTTTCAGGGAAAGTAATTTCAATATGAAATATCAATAGTAACAACTACCAGAACACAACATTCTTGTTCTAAAATCTGAACAGTTAGGACAACTAAGTAACGAATTTTTTGACAAAATTCCAGCATAATTATCTTCTCCCCAACTTTTATTATTATTATTATTATTATTATTGGCTATAACAGTGTTTTACTTTCTTTTATTGGTTCCCTGCTCATAATGTCATTATAATTTTTTCTCTCATATTCTTGTCTTTATAGCTTAAGAAATGTATAAAAACTCCAGAAATCCCTTCTAAACATGTCAGAAACTGGGTCCCAAAAGTTTTGGAACAGCGACGACAAGGTTTGGAAACATATTTACAGGTAAGATATGTTTAGATCCTCAGTTACTATAACCTAAATAGTTGCATGTCTTACTATTTTTAAGAGTATATGAGAGTGATACAAAAATATATAAAGAAGCAAAATATTCTTAATTAAAATAAAGGAAGTTTTATAATTATAAAATGTTGTTGGTTCATTGATTCTAATTAGTTTCTATTTAAAATTGKTTTTTGCTATGGGGAAGTGAAAATATGGTACAAAGGGAAAAACTGACATAAAGAGACCTATCCATTTTTTAAACTCACCTCTACAAGCACTTTGTTTTTGTGTTTTGTTTTCTTCCCTGGGTTTATTGCTTCCTCATAGCAGCCCCAGCCTTCAGGTTTTGGGTGTTTGGGGACAGATTGGTTTAGTAATAAAAAGTGAATTTTTAGTGGACCCCACTAACATACCTATAGAATCACACTGAGGGAGTATCACCTGTAACAAAGCACCTCCTTCTTTGAAAATTAGAGTCTGTGTGTAGGAAGAACGCATTAGGAGCTCTTTCTGCAGCAGAGGAGAAGCAGAACTACCTGAGAGAGGCCAAGGCACTCTCCACTGGTGAATGAAAAGCAAAGGGAAAAGGCTGAACAGTTTCAGGTTCTCTGAACTTAAAACCAAAACCCCCAGAGGCCTGTGATAAATATTCAGTGAAAACAAAACACAAGTCCAAGGCAATGCTCAGGGCAGGGTTGGGATAGGCTACCTGAGGTCAGCTAGTGCTCCTCACCTGAGCCAGAGAGGATCCATGTGTGGGAATGACTGAGGCAGACAGGGCAGGAGCAGAGAAATCTTGTCTCTCAAAAAAAAAAGGAGCTGGACTTCACTAAGAGTTAGGAATTCAGGACTGATTCTTCCAAGACATGTTCCATCAGGGAAATAAGCAGCCACAACTGTGTTCTTCCTTTAATATCATAGGAAGAGGAGGGAGTGTGTAAAGCCACTGTGCTTTTTCCTCCATAGAGGATGGTTGTGGATGGTTGTGCCTGAATCACTTCTCCTGGCCCCCTGTAGTTGGCCTGGTCTTCACACACTGGCATGCTCGAGGCAGCTGGGATGTGTGAGGGGGACTTTCCTCACTGTTCTTGGTCTTTTTCTTTTGGCCTTGGTGGAAGGACTCTTCACCGTCTCTCCCTGAGGGTGAAAGCTTAAAGGAAACAGGGATCACCAATCACAGGAATGTGTGTGTGGCCGTGTTCCCCAGACTCCCATAGCTTCAGGCAACACTTCAGAGCAAAAAARCCAAACCAAAACCCCCCAAAAAAACAGGACTTCAGAAATTGTATGCAAAGGGTAAAAATGCATGTTCTCTATAATTAAATAGAATAGGTAAACAATGCATTTTCATTTGTAAGCCAGATTTTCCACAGATATTGTATATCTTCAAGCTTTAGTTCCAAAGAAAGCTTTATTCTTTTCCCCCCCATTGTATTTGACACATGACTTCCATTACTACTCAGTGTAAACATTTTAAGTTGTTTGTACTTTGGATATAAATATGTGGATAAAATCATCTGGCACAGAGAGGAGTTTATAGTGATACTCAAATTGAGCTTAGAATTTTCTATTCTCAGAAATAGGGCTTGAAAGATGTGGTTGAAGGGCTGAGAAGGCCTGTTTCCTGTTGTGCTTTTAATATTCAGTTTGTTGTCACTTCATTCCCCAGAGGAGTTCAAGGGAGTTCTTCTTCCTTTTCTACCTGATTCTATCTGCCCGCAGTGGAGTTAGCCGGAAGTTGCAGAGATGAATGCAAATACTTTATTAATCCCAGGTGAAAAGCAGACCCTGGCTCTAGGGGTCATTTCTTGATTTTTAGTATTAAAGTTTTTAATAAGATGATATCACTGTTTCTTTTGCTTGTCTGTCTAGCTCCAGTTACATGTTAGTCTAAACCCCAGGGAGTGGGTGCCCCTGAGCCCTCCTCAGCAGGCACCATCTTGCTGCTAGTCTGTCTGAAGAGAGTGCTCCTCCTACGAGAGCCCAGGCTGCTCTTTCCTGTTAAAGAGGGAGAAACTAGGTCTAGAGCTGTTCAGAAACTTGCCTTCTCCTGGAATTACTAGTTAAAAGATTTGGACTGGAATTTTAGTTTCCTAATGACTAGTTTAGTTTCTTTTCCTTGTATATGGTAGATTTTCTAAATTAGGTAAAAATTTTTAGACTTTGCATATGTCTTTAAGTAGATTAAAAACAAACACTTTATAATCATAAACTACCAACCCAACTCCCTTGATAGATAGACATATGATTTTTTTAAAATAATTTTTTAAAACATTTATTTTTTAGTGGTATGTGGACACAATACTATTTTTATTTTATTTTTATGTGGTACTGAGGATCAAACGAACCCAGTGCCTCATGCATGCTAGACAAGTGCTGTACCACTGAGCCACAACTCTTAGCCCAAAAGCTACTTTTTTTTTTTCTCCAGTAGAAATCTTATGTCTTAAGGGGGGAAAAAAGGATGCACAACAAATAAAAGTAACATGCAATTTCCACGATACTTAAATAATTGTCTTGTAGCATGTAGATGATGGGCTCTAATCAGTGCCGTTTACTTTCCAAAACTTCTGCCAGATTTGGAAATGGTTATTTCCACATAGTCTAACAATGTAACAATGACAGCTATGGCTATTTAGTATTACTTACCATTACTTACTTAGGAATTTAAAAAAAAAAAAGAAAGAAAGAAAGAAAAAGAAATAATACAATGCTATTTAGTAAGTTTTTTAAAAAAATTTTAAGTACATTTTGAACCATGATCACTTTCCTACTTAACATTTTTAGATCATTTGGTTAGAAACAAATTATTTTTAAAAATTAAATATCCAAGAACACACAGTATCTTAGAATAAAAAAACTAAGTTAGCCAATGAGAGGTTAAAAATTACATTGGACATATGAGTGATTTGAAGTATGGCATTCTATCTGATGAACAGTGATTATTAATTTCATTTTCGAGAATAATTTTCTATGTATTGAATAGGAAATCTATCCTAGGAAACCTAGCTCTTAGTTGTGTTCATCTTCTTCCCCTTAAAAATACTGCACCCCAGACAAACTCCCTGAGGTTTCACAAATGAGGGAATTGATCCAGGTAAAAGTGGAATTAAGTAAAACAAGGTCTTTCTACGTGAATGGAAGAACACTAATTTGTTTTAATTCCAATAAAAAATTCATGCCAAATAAAAATTTTACGAAGTAACAAATTTTTGTTTTCCAAATTATATATACAGATGTGCTTCAATTTATGATAGGGTTATGTCCTGATTAAACCCATCGTAAGTTGAAGATATCATAAGTTGAAATGCATTTGACACACCTGACCTTCCAGCATCACAACTTATCAACACAGGAGTAAACTTTAGAGTATTGATGTACACACCACGGTTACATGGCTGGCTGGGAACCTCAGCTCACTGCTCCTATCCAGCATCATGAGAGTGTTACACCACATATTGCTAGCCTGAGAAAAAGACCAAAATTCAAAATTAGAGGTACAATTTCTACAGGATGCATATAACCTTTGCACCATTGTTAGGTTGAAAACTCTTAAGCTGAATCATTCTAATTGAAGTCCATTTGTACTAGAAATTCATCTACTTTGGGAGGTGTTTTAACTGGAAGATAAAAACAAGTTAATATTTTACACTAATTTACTGAGAAATGTTATATGCATATAAGAGTTTTTGCTTAAAGTTAAACATTCATCAGGCACTTGTGGTATTTGAGGCAAAGGGGTAGATCTAGTTTCAGAGGAGCCTTGAACCATATCCCAGTTAAGTAATCATAGTTATTTTATCCATTTCTCTTTTCTGTTTTCCATGGTACAATCTTCATTGGGCCCCTTTCTGATACAAAAGGGCTACAGTGGTTCCAGACCTCTCCTACTGTTATCAAATACACCAGAGCCCTAGGGAAGAGTAGGGTCTCTTTTAGTAGTACAATGGAAGAAGGAGAAAGTGCCTTTCCTTAGAAGTCTTCCCTGGCCTCATTGGTTTATCTTTGCACATGTGCCCACCTCTGAACCTCACTGTGGCTAGTCAGATTCTACTCCTGAAGCTAGGGGTGAGGTTGGGTCATTTTCATAAGAAATAACTAGGGCGTTCTTGGTAAAAGAAAAAGGAGTGTCCTGGGTGTGAATGGAGGAGCAGAGGCAACCAGCAAATGCACACTCCAGAAAACAGCGATGTTCAGATAACTCAGTACTTATTGATCAACCTCTCTGCATGTACACCTCCTATCATCTGGTAACCACTGTTCTACTCTTAACTTTCATGACATCARCTTTTTAAGATCCCATATATGAATGAGATCTTATGGTATTTTTCTGTGCCAGGATTATTTCACTTAAAATAATATCCTTCAGGTTAATCCATGTTGTTGCAAATGATAGAAATTCATACTTTTTATGGCCGAATAATATTCCATTCCATATGCCACATTTTCTTTATCCATTCATCAGTTGATAGACCCTTTGTTTTTATTTGTTAACTATTATAAACACTACTGCAGGAAATATGGAATTGCAGATGTCTTGGACATACTCATTTTATTTCCTTCAGATATATATACAGGAGAGAGAGAACTGAATCATATGATTATTCTATTTTTAATTGTTTGAGGACTCTCTATACTATTTTCCATGATGACTGTACAAATTTACTTCCTATCAACACTATGTAAGGGATTCTGTTTCTTCACCAGCACGTTTTGTCTTTTGTCTTTTTTTTTTTTAATAATAACCATCCTAACTGGAGTGAGATGATCTCATTGTGGTTTTGGTTTGCATTGATGATTAGTGCTGTTGACCATTTTTCATGCATTTTAATCTTTTGGCCATTCATATATCTTCTTTGGATAAATGACTAATTAGAGCTGTAGCCCATTTTTAAGTGGGCTCTTTGGTTTCTGCTGTTGAGTTTTTGGTGTTGCTTATGTGGTCTGGACTTCACTCTCATGTTAGATATATAGTTCACAAATATTTTCTCTCATTCCAT